TCTCTCTCTCTCTCTCTCTCTCTCTCTCTCTCTCTCTCTCTCTCTCTCTCTCTTCCGGAGTGATCTCTGAAGCGGTGATGGCGTTCTCCATCCAATCTTCACCGTCCGTTTACGTGTGAGTGCACGAAAGATGTTCTCTGCATTGCGTTTGAACAACTTCCGCTACTTGCTCTTCGCTGATACTTTGGCGCAATGACTCGTTATTTTTGTGACAATGTACATAATCCCTACATGAGGCATACTATAGCTAGTTGATCTGCTGTGTAAACTCCCTCCTAATCCGATAGAAACGTCTGTGAAAGCAAGAGAATGTAGGTATAGCGATATAAATGACTTCTGAGGAAGGATGCCAGAAAGTCAGTTACGAGGAGGGAGGTTGGATTTTGTGTGATAATGTGATTCCTATAATTTTCTATCCTGATGAAATTAATCACGTGGCACGTGGTAGGTGATCTGTACAATATAGAATGCACTACCGACTATGATATAGTAGAGATATTCCTATATATGGGATGGGATGGGATGGGTGTTGATAACCGGATGGAGAAAAATGCCAAGCGATTGGGAGAGAGAGAACGGGAGACGAACGGGAGAGGAAGACAAGAAGGAAGCGGTGTATGTGAGCAAAGACCCTAGTGGAAAACGAAGCGCAGCTGCTGAGTGGAGCAGCAAATGTCGCCGCTGTTGGGGGAGAAGCTCATAGTGTCTTTTTTTTTTTGGGTTTCTTGACAGTTCTATAGTGATAGAAACCTGTTAAGAAGCTTAGCTATGGAATAGAAGACCTCTCCTTGGCAAATGGATCAAATGGAGGGCATCTTTTTTATAGTTGGGTATTGTAACTATTGTTATACCCAACCATGGAAGGCCACTTCCTTGACAATGTTTGGCCTCAAGTCTTTGCGATAAAGGTATTGTGAATTTGTCACAAAAAAAGACTTGACGGAAGGTGTTGAACAGCAAATAGAGGTGTTGGATGGTGACAGAAGGGCGCGGCCGAGCACACACAGCGAGCAGATGGAAGACCAAAGCCGGCCCCGCATGGCATCAGGAGGTAGCATCCAGCAGACGACGTTTGATGTGTGCAAAGGGTAAACGCAGGTTAACCATTGGCAGAGATTAACACGATGACGACTCAAAGAAATATGTTGCCACGCCATCTTGAGCAGGGTCCATCTTACGGTGCACACGGAGAGAGAGAGAGAGAGAGAGAGAGAGAGAGAGAGAGAGAGAGAGGCTCGCTAGATGTACATTCAACTCAACCACAGTGGTGTGAGGCAAGTGGCAAAAGCTCTTCTAGATGGGATCGAGGCTGTGCTGGGTTGCTATGCCCAAGTGCTCAGATCAATCATATGTTGATGGAGCTTTTCCGCAATTTATCTTGGCGGTGATTCAGGGGCACGCGCATACAGAGCAAGAGCCACAGGGGAGAGAGAGAGAGAGAGAGAGAGAGAGAGAGAGAGAGAGAGAGAGAGAGAGAGAGAGAGAGAGAGAGAGAGAGAGAGAGAGAGAGAGAGAGAGAGAGAGAGAGAGAGAGAGAGAGAGAGAGAGAGAGAGTCACAGGGATGACTGTGACTGGTGAGAGGCCAGTGCAAGGTGAATGATGAAGACGTGTTGGAGAGAGAATGATGTAGCTAGGTGATTCTTCCTTCAGGTGGATTTACCTCACAGTATTCTGAGTGTTCACAGTACTCTCGTTGTGAACGAGGACTCAAGGAGGATTGTATGTAAGGGGATATGACAGTGTTGCTTTCGTCGTCTGTGGAGTCTTGTGGACTATGCGAGAATGATGTGTGCCATCACTTTTTCAACATACTTTTTCTTTTCTTACATGATAATCTTCAGCAAACTGAGCAAAGTCTGTTTTGATTTTTGCGCGCTCGGCTCCTCAGTTTGGACCTTGTCAGTCCCACTACTTGCCAAATTAGGAATGGTGAACACAGTCCTCCGCGGCATCTGTTAAAATTGGAACGATACAGAGAAGAGTAGCTCTTATCACCCCCCTTAGTAGTCCTGCCCGGATGTTAAAAATCAACGGGGAAAAAAAAAAAGCATGGCCCCTGTGTGGGGAAGTACAAGCATGAATAGAGAAATGGTTCAAATCTTTTGTAAAGAAAGAAAAAGAAATGGTGTAGGTATCTTGCAGTATAACGCAGCACGCTGCATTTGCCATGTTTTTTTTTTTGTTTTGTTTTTTTTAATTAAGTATTATTATTATTAGACTCGGCTCGTTTTATTATCACCAAACAACCAAATGGAGGCTGGGAATCCCTCCACCAACAACCCAGAAAAAGTAGAAATGTACTGGGATCACTACCCAGCTTAGAGGCAGGCGTTGGGACTTCATAGTGTAGGCGCAGAATGGCCAATTCTAGACCGGTGCCCTGACATATCCCACCATGTGTCACCATATGGTTACATTTGGTGAGTGCTGCAAAGAATCTTTTTTGAAGGTTTTTTTCCAAAAGGAAAACGAAAAGGAAAAAGAAAAAGAAATAGAAAAAGAAAAAGAAATAGAAAAAGAAAACAAGACGCTTTTTGTCTGTCTATTTAGGTAGTATTTTAAGCTGTATTTATAATGTTATATATATTTTTTCTATTTTTTTGTCAGTTTTGTGAGCGGAGCATCTTAGGGCCTTGCTTCGCCACTCGAGAGCTGCCGAAAATAAAGAAGAAAGAAGTCGGTCAGTTCTCAGCATCGCTGGGCAGAGCTGATTTCTCTCTCTTTTTTTTTCTTTTTTTTCTCTTTTTTTTTAATAGGAAAAGACCAGAACCTGTCCTTCGGGACGTCCGTTAAAATTGGAACGATACAGAGAAGATTAGCAAGGCCCCTGCGCAAGGATGACACACTTAAATTGAGAAATGCTCCAAAAAAAAAAAAAAAAAAAAAAAAAAAAGACCAGAACCACCGGGTTACCCGGAGAGGCCGGTGGAGCAGCAGCAGCCCCCCGTAGTCAGTGTTCTGGTTGCTCCAGTCTATTGGTGAGGGGAGCTGCACCTGCCAGAAACCGGGTCCACCGTGCCAATTAGATATACATTGGGAACACTGAAAACATTGGGAACATTTTTTGCATGAAAGTGCAATCTTTGGCTGCCAGCATTGACTACCCCCGGGGGAACTGTTTTTTTTTTTTTTTTTTCGGGCTCAGGGACGGGGTGATAAGAGCATTCCCCCCTTGTAACCATCGGGCAGGCGCTCCAGTCTATTGGTGGGGAGCTTCACCTTCTGGAAAACGGGTCCAGCGGCCCATGTGAATGGGGGGTTAACAGTGCAGCGGCTGCGGATTTCTAAATTGTACTGGAATGATGTGGAATCTCAAGGCCCCTGGTGGACTTTGAAAGCTTTTCGCTAAATGGGACAAGGTTCCAACAAAGATTCACCAATCGCCCTGCTACTCTCCTCATCATTGAGCTCCGACATGTCTCTTATGCCGACAGACTCTGACGGTCTGACCATGTAATAATTTATTATTAAGAAATAATTTATTATTAAGACGGACTTTTAGGGTTTAGGTTTGTCAGGAGTTTCCACTGCGAACTCACTGTTAACAGGCAGGGGAGTGACTGTGGGCATCGCCCCACCACTCTCGACATGTGCAAAATGAGAATGAACTTCCCGCTATGCAAGGAACCTGACTGTTCATAGCTTGCTGGAGTGTATCTCATTGCATGCATAGATGTCATCATACAGATAGAGAAACTTCACACGAAACCAAATCGAGATGAGATGAGAACCGAATAGCGCAGCTCATATTATCACAACAACATCATACAAGAGTATCTCGAATCCAAGAGTTCAGCGCCAACAGAGTACAAGTCTCTTTCGTTCCATTCTCAATATAGGGCCTGGCTCAGCCAGCATCTGCCCTCAGATTACAGGTATGGGGCCAACAGGTAAGTATCCACCATATCCAACTCCTTAACCTGTCTCCTCTCTCTCTCCCTCACGAGATCCCTGTCTTGGTTCCCTTGTCTCACTCTGCATGCTCACTCCCTACTTATGAGGATCTACTCTGAATGCTACTCACTGATGTCTACTACTAACCCCTCTACTTCTTCTAATAATGTTGGCGCAGCTATGGCTGCTTAGGCCAGTCAGCGCCCAGCCTCTTCTTCCTCTGCTTGCGCAGCTTCCAGCCAGCGCATTCTCCCTGCATGCTAGCGCACAAGTGCTTCAGCACTTCCACGCATCAATGCCAGTGGAGATCTGTCGTGTGGGGAGGCTGGCCTGGTCTCTTATAGTGCTGGCCTCCCTTCGCGAGGTCTGAATCAGTCCTCCTGGGGTCTTTCCCCAGTCCCAGACCACCGCAGAATGTGTCCCGGTACCTTTCCCTCAGGGTCTGCTGCTGCTGCGGCCTTTGGGCCTGAATTTTGGACTTTGGGTCTGAATCTGGACTGTCTATTGGACTTTGACTTGGACTGGGACTCTACCCCATTGACTACCATTCGAACAAACACAACTTCTGCACAAACAGACACATCTACTGCACGAACAGACATGACTTGCACAGCCCCCTGGACGAACAGACGTGACTCGCACAATTGAATGCTGCAACTGTTCGTGCTGGGGCACGACTGTGACCTTTGACACAGCTCCTCACTTCAGTTAGGATGTGACTTTTGAACCAGAGAACATGTCTTTTGATCTGCTTTTCACGAATTGAGTTCTGGCCGAGTGGGCCCCATTATGCTGTGTTCGTCATTCAGGGTCTGAATGGGTAAAGGCCCTTTTAGCTAGAACATGGCCAGATGCACCGCCACATTTTTCATGATTTTGTCTTTTTCGCATTTCGAGAGTGATGTGGCAAGGCCCTGGTTTTGTCGCGCAACGGTCAAATGGGCGACCTATGTAAAGTAGTCAAGGCTTACAGGTGGGGGGCATGCGGCAGGCAGGGGGCGGTTTAAAACCACCAGTAGGGAAGGCGTCCTTCCTGCTGGCAGCGCTCCACATTTAGACGAGACTCGGGAACAAACCTCCACAGCTGTATGAACATCCGGTATGGCTTTCCATGCCTGGTAAATTCCATGCATGGCCCTACATGCATATGTAGGGAAGAGCCGCCTGCTGGTCGTTTAAAAGTCTTAAAGCTCCCACATGAGTCCCAAGGGACGCAGGACCTGGCTTCCAGCAGGTGCGGCTCCCCACCACCAATATATGGAGCAGCAGCCCACCAGCCGAGGCCTCAATTCTGGCGGTTTGCTTACCATCACCAGGATAGTGGACTTGCAAAAGGCCTTTTTTTTTCTTTTTTTTTTCTTTTTTTTTTCTTTTAATTACCCCTTTGCCTTTGCTAGGAGAGGTGATAAGAGCACCCCCTCCTAGCAAGAGACCTGGGTGCTCCGATCTATTGGTGGGAAGCAGCACGTGCTGCCTTTTCTATATATATAAAAAAAAAAATAGAGTTGACGAAACAACTACTAGGTCTGTTTGTTCCCCCTCTACCTCCTCTAGCTCCTCTTCCTTCTCCTCATCCGTGTCGTTGTTATACTCCGCTCGCTTCTTCCTCTTCATCTTCCTCTCTCTCCATCCTCGTCTTGTTCCTACTCTCTTCTTCCTCATAATCTTCAATCTTCTGCGTGTCTTTCTGTGCGCACTGTGCACTGTGCACCTCTGTCTACACAACTCTGCTGACTCTGTGTGTGTGTGTGTGTGTGTGTGTGTGTGTGTGTGTGTGTGTGTGTGTGNAAAAAAAAAAAAAAAAAAAAAAAAAACACTTTAAAACATAGTATGCCACTCCCTTTTTGTAGACTTGTGTCGTCGGTCCCTTTTCCTGCCTTTGCCACGGCCCAGCTTCAATGTTCCCAACCCTCGTTGGATTTGCCGGAGCTGACCTCCGTCTGACAGGGACTGACAGACTAGCCGGTACCTGACGAAGTGGACTCCCATGGACTCACTGTCCTACTGTTTTCTCTATCCCCCGATATGCTCAGCACCTACAAACCCACCACTGCGACGTACAATACAAGGGAGAAACCCACCACTGCGATGTACAATACAAGGGAAATTGTCCACCACTGCGACGTACAATACAAGGGAAATTGGGCCTTCAGCATTGGGACCGTACTTTTTTGAGACTGTGAGTACTTTCAAAATGCCTGTTCTGGCAAACGATAGTGACTCAACGTAATATGTTCTCCAAAACATGCGAAAACAAATGCCACGTTGCCAACACACAATGCTGGACAAGGGCTGAAAAAGTTCTGAAAAAAGAAAGGCTAAGCAGAAGGCTGCAATAATTGCTGAAACAATGCTTGAAATTTTTCAAAACAAATGCCGGGGATAGGGGTGAATCTTCCATTAATAACTATTGTCGATTTGCGTGTCATCCTCTTCTTCGATCATTGCAGAGGGGCCAACCTAATAGTCTCCGCATCAAACACAAAACAGCAGACCAGATTGGTACGGAGACGCCGGGCCCGTTTCCCGGTTTCTTTCGACAATAAAAGTGAGTGTTTGTCTAAACAACAACAACAAAAAAAAAAAAAAAAGTTACCGTATCGAAAAGTTCCCTGTCTGGTATTTATTTTGGAACTATTCTCATTCCTTCTGGCTGAGAAAGAATTTGATCTGCTATTTTTAGATAATCCGATCATAATCATCAGATTCGGCACAATGAGCGTGAGCGTTATCTGACGGTCTGGTGCAGGCCGAAGAGCCGGCCCCACGCCCCAAAGTGTGCTGTTGTCCAACAGATCTAGTCAGTCCCCTGGAAACAGGGCAATCAATGCTGGCAAGCCTTCCGATGTGTAGTGGGA